AAGAGGGAGTCCAGTGGTCCCTGTGCGTGCCTGACGTGAAAGCCCTCTCAGAGGTGCAGCCACAGAACCAGGAGGGGCCACACAGCCATGACAACCCTCCTGGTTCTAACCGCACAGAGCAGCAGGGTGGTGGGGCTATGGGAGGGCGGCCGTGCCAGGAGGGGCTGGGTGGCACCAGAGCAGAGGGGCCCAGGCAGGGACTGGCATCGGCACTGAGCTCTACGTGCCTCAGACCCGAAGGCCTCCCCGTGTGTCTCTCGGGGGTGTGCTGGATGGGCAGGCCCTCAAAACGTGACTCTCCAGCGGCGCCCACACCTCCCTTTCCCTTCCCCACCCCCCATCAACAGCTCCACGGCCTCTCCACCCTGCCTCCCACGTGGGTCCCGAACCCCCACCTCGCTCTGTGCAGCCGGGGCTGCTCTGTGGCCTCCTCGCGTCCTCCCACCGATCCTCCCGCTGATGGTTCCAGAATCCCCCAAATCTCCTTGGGATGGTGGACACCCCGCCCCGTGAGAGATGCAGACGGTGGCGCAGAGAGGAGAGGGGACCGGCCCCAGGTGACGGACAGTGAGGTGACAGACTCATGGCGATGCCACGAGCACCTCCATCACCCAGGTGCTTCCTGGGGGGCTCCAGCGCATGGGGCAGCAACCCCCCACCTGTGGCTGCCGCCCCAGCAGACACAGCCTGAAGCCCTGTAACACCCGCTGCTGGTGCTGGTGGAGGGGCCAGGGTCGCCGGAGTGGGCGCCCCCATCCTCCCCGGGGCCCAGGCAAGGACAGAGTTGGAGCTCCGGGGTCCAGGCTGGGGTCTGGCTTTGGGTGAGCTGCATCCTCTCTGGGTCTCGGTTTCCTCATCTGTGAAGTGGGGAGGAAGGTGGACGTGATACCCAAGGCTGTCCCTGCCAAGGGAGCCCTGAGTCCGTGTGTCCTGCCCGGGTGCCCCGCACAGCCTGTCTGGGCCGGCTGGAGCACCTGGCTGTGTCTAGGGGTCTGGGAGAGGCAGTTCTGACCACCACGCCCCACCTCCCTCTGCACCACCAACCCGGGGCTCCCGCCTCGCCAGGCTGACGCTCAGCCTGAGGCTTCCGGCGCCCCTACAGCCGCTTTAGAGGCACCCCTCGCCCATGACCACAGAATCCGTCTTGGAGCAGAGGCATGCTCACAGGACCAGTGGGTAGAGCAGGGCTGGGGGACGAGGCGCAGGGGTGAGGTGGCCAGGGGTCTGCATGCGGCTGAAGGACTGCTGGCCACGGCCCGGCACCTGCAGCAGCATCTCTCCCCGGTGGCCCTGACCCCACAGGCGCTCTGACGCTCTGGGCCTCCCTACACACCCCGCAGCCGCCGCAGCCGCACACACAGCCCTCCTGGCCGGGCGCCTCCCCCTCCTCCTCCAAGCGAGTAACTCCTTCCCGTCCTCCAAACGCTGACTCAAACGCTGCCACGAGCAAGTGCCACACCTGTGCTTCTGGAGAAACGGCAGCAACCCACCGAGTGGCATGCCGTCTCCCCAAGGCCCAGACCCTGAGACCCAGGTCGGCGTGGGCAGTTTCCCTCCGTACCTGTCCTGCCTGCCCCACCCTCCAAGGCCACGGAGATGCCTGCAGGAGGCCCAGAGGGAGCCGGCCGGGGTCTCTCCCCTCACGGTGCTCCGCGGTGGAAGGGGAGAGACACACCCCACCTGCCCTGGCACCCAGAGGTCACCGCA